TTTTTTTTTTTTTTCTTTTTCTCCTGTCAGAAATGACCACAAAACACAGTTCCCACACGATACAATTTCACCTCTTCTGGGTAAAAGAGAACCTTGGCATTCATTTTTTCAGGGGTTGATAAACAGAGGCGTTGGGGTCCAGTCCAGAAGGGTTGGGCTCCACGAATTTGGAGGAATAGTGAGGGGACACGGGGCTCAGCGTGCTGGTGGCTGCAGTGTAGGTGATGCTGGGCATCACTGCCATCACCTCGGCGATTTTCTGCTTCAGCTCCTTGATCTCCTGCTCCTTCTGCAGGATTTGCCCTGCAAAACAGCCAAGAATTTCAGAATTTCACCCTCCAGGTGATCAAAAATTCCCCTTTTCCAGCCCAAAAATCACAACAGCTCTGTGGGCAGAGCTGGGTTTAGTTCTAATTAATTAATTAGAACAGAACAGAACCCAATGGTGCCCTCAGAATTCTGCATTATTTGGATTCTCAGCTGCACCACCCCCAAAGATTATTGATCCCCAAAGATTATCAATCCCCAAAGATTATTTCTATTTAACTTCATTTTTCTGCCATTTTTCCTGCCTTTCCCCATTCCTCTTCTCCTCACAAAACCACAAATATTTGATAATTAAACCCATTAATTCTCCAACCATTCCCACCACCACTACAGCAATTCCTGCCACCAGGTAAAGAGGAAAAAAAACAAAAAAAACCCACACTGCTGAAACAAAACACAACAATTTCTCCCTCTAATTAAATTTTCCTGCAATCAACCAACTTCTGCAGGGAAATCAGACTTTGTTTGATGCAAAGGTTATTTGATTTTGATGCAAAGGTTATTTGATTTTAATGCAAAGGTTATTTAATTTTGCTCCCTGGTTTGCACAGCTGCTCCAATGCTGGGTTGGGTTTTTTGTTGGTTTTCTGCTCCCTCTGGTGGAGCAGAAAAAACTTCCCAAATTGAAGTTTTATTTATTTGAATTGTCATAAAAGATTATTATCAGGATGTGAGGACAGCAGATTAATAAAGGGCAACTCTTAATTAACTCTTTTAATCAGAGTTTTTTCAGAGCTTTAGAAAATCTCCAGCTCCTTGTAACGGTTTATAAAACACAAAAAAATAATAATGAATGAATTTAAAGCCTCATTTTAACCTTCCCTGTTAATTTGATGGGTTTGGGATGTGTTTAAACCCCACATTACCAAACCTGGAAAAGCCAAACCCCCTCTGAGGGCTGAAATGCTCCAAAATTCTGATTTTTTTTTTTACCTTGGGCAATCTCCAGCTGCCTTTTTGCATCTCCCAGGGCAGAGAACAGGTCCAGTTTGATCCTGGTCTCTGCACTCAGGCTGTTCTCCAAGTGCTGGGTCTTGTCCTGCATGGCTGAGAGTGCTGACATCAACACCTCCGTGTCCTTCTCGTTCTCCTTGTACTTCCTCAGCTCCTGCAGGGAAATTGGGGGGCAAAAATGACATTTTTTGAGGGAAAAATGGCATCTTTGAGGGGTAAAAATGTCATCCTGAGGGTAAAAATGCCATATTTGGGGGTAAAAATGGCATCTTTAGGGGTAAAAATGGCATCTTTGGGGGTAAAATTGTCATCTTTAGGGGTAAAGATGTCATCCTGGGGGCAAAAATGTCATCCTGGAGGGTAAAAATGTTATATTTGGGGACAAAAATGGCATCTTTGGGGCAAAAATGGCATCTTTGGGGGTAAAAATATCATCCTGGAGGATAAAAATGTCATCTTGGGGGCAAAAAGGTCATCTTT